AGGTCACGTATCATTCATTTCACTGGAAGAAGGGAACTCCGTTTGGGGATGATCAAGGAATCTACAATAGGTTGACTTGGTGGGAACAGATTGACAATGGAAAGCAGCTCACACGGAACAGGAAGTTTCTCACTGTTGTTCCCGTTGTCTTGTAAGTCCTTCTTTACAAATCCAGATTCTACTTTTCTTTAGAGCTAGGCTATATATGCACAGGACGAATCTGTTTGCATAACAATGTCTTGTTTCAGATCCATGTTAGGTTTACAATGAATGTTCACTAGATTGTCCCAGATAAGTAAACTGTATTCCATGTTGAGAATTATGTGTGTCTCTATCATGTGCATTATTCGTCTGGTAGAAGCCTTGAGCTCTTATATCCAGTGTAGAATATATGATCTGTTTCTTTCTTTTTCGCCTCTAGTTATGGTAAAATCATCTTTGTTGTTATATGCCCAAATTGTGAGTTGTCTTCTCGTAAAAAGAGGTGCTTTCTTTCTTGGCTCTCTCTACCCATTTCTTCTCTGGTTGTGTATGCTGAGATACTTTCTAAGAGATTATAAGTTCATAATATCTCTGCCGTCTCTTGATCACAGTTCTCTATCTAGGTAAAGCGGTTGTTTGTTCTCACAATCTAGTTGGCATTATTGTACAAAATATGTTTGCATATACACAAGACACTATCATTTTTGAATTTCTTCTTGTTGAGTTGTGCTTCACAAATCTCGGTTCTCTGTTATGACTGTTGACTTTTGCTTCTAAAATAATGTTTATCTTTGTTCGAATCCGTTCACTGTTTATGGTTGGATCTAATTTCCCTTGTAATGATTGACTCCGTTTTGTTATTAGTAGTGTCCGAGAACCTTAGACTTTTTGGTAATGTTCTTCAGACATAAGGTCTGTTTTGAGATTGCTGAATCTCTTTTCAGGAACTATTAGATGATGTATAGGGGGGAATACCTCGATTGTTGTGTTGTGTTGTGTGTGACAGATATGTAGTCAGTCAATAAATGAATCTGTGGGACCTGATAATATGATCATAACATTGCCTGCAGGTACTTGATAGCCTCTCACACAACAAACTATCAGCACCCGATGCTCTTTCTCAACACACTGGCTGTATTTGTAATGGTGGTCGCAAAATTCCCAAATATGCACAAGGTCCGCATATTTGGAATCAATGCTGAACAATGAAACCATGAGAAGATAGAGAGAAAAAAAGGATAGGTATGTGAAATGCGAGAGGAGTATTTGGAATGTACAATCCGACTACAAATTCCATCGTCATTCGACTTGAGGAAATCCCTTTTCTGCTCTTTGTTTTGGGGCTTCTAATTAAATTCATA